CCTTTCTTTCCCTCTGCTTGTCCCTCACCCCAACAGAATCCCAATCTTTTGGGGTTGGGGAGGCACAGAGCAGAAGGTCTCACTCTCTGCAGGGCAGGGGAGAGGTGGATTTTCTGACCTATTTTTGTATATTGAGGTCAGTGACAGCATTTTAAGGGTCACATGAAGCTCACAGCAGTCCAAGAGGATTAAGGGTCTGACACACTGACAGATTCATTGTGTGAATCCTTTATCACTGTTAATTGTTTTAAGGAAATCACACCGCAAACTTCACTCATTGATTTACAAATTCCCTAAATTTAACATCAAACTTCAAATTCACTGCATAGTTTGAAAGCAACCTGGGCTGGCAGCTCGCAAACCCAAAGCCAGTTCAAGCATTTCAGCACTTTCCAGCTTCTCAGTTGGTTTTTCAGGAGCCACACTCAGCTCCAGCTCCTCAAATACCTGCCCAGGTCCAGCTGCATTCCAATTTACCTCTATGAATGGCAGCTATATCCTGACTGGAGCACTAATATTAATTTAAAATTAATATATATTACATACACTATATAACACAATAAGAATATATAATTCTATATTATAAAATACATAGTTATATATGTTTATATATATATTAGATATGATATGTTATATAATAATTATAACATAATAATATACCATTTTATATTATAAAAATATAATTATGTATAAAATATTAATTTCATATTATTTAATGTTGCACTTGGACAGATCCAGAGATAAGAATTCCAAAAGAAGATCCATAAGCATCAAAATATGTAAAATATCCCGCAGTAAAGAATGCTACACCTGACTTGCTCATGGGCTTTTAGAAAATTCAGAGGATTAAATCTTTCAGAGCACTTGGTCCTGATCATCTGTGAGTCCTTGCAGGCACCAAGGAATGGTATCACAGCCAAGACTGGAGAACACCCCACACCTGAGTGGTAAACACTCTCTGTGTTTACCTGCAGAACTGATCACACCAAATCCTCACAAAACCCTTTCCATTTCCCAGGAATTTCCAAGGAATTTCCCAGGTATTTCCCAGTCTGGATGTAGCTCTGGGTACAACGCCAGCCCCACTAATGGCTGTGACACTGTGGGAGCACAAATGCCACCTCCAGCACTCCAGCTTTGCCATGCCCACTGTGATGACCTTTGAAGCACAGAAATGAAGCCAAAAACCCCTCGATGCCCAGCTGAAACATTTCCATTTTCCATTCATTGCTCTGGTCTCTCCACCAGGCAGGATGAGCTCTGAGCTCCGGAACAACACCGCTGATATTACCTGACCCCGAGCTCCTGTTCTGTAGGAATCTGGCACACACCAAGCCCTGGGTGTCCCTGACAGGGTGTGAGGAGAAAGGCAGCAGCCAAACAGATGGTCTTGTGAAAATCTTCCCTAAAAAGTGTTCTGTGTGCTAAAACATCACTTACCCAAACTCGTATCGAACTTGGCTTGATTTGCGAGCCTCCAGCCAAGTTTGGGAGAAAAATATTCGGCTGGAAATATGGAGGGGGGGTGGAAAGAGGCTTTTTGCTGCACTTAAATGATATAAAATGAAACTATTTCCTTCAAAGCTTAGGAAAATTGAAGAAAAATAGAGCCCAACCCTGGCGTGTGTAAAGCAAGCGCTGAGGTGGGGGGTGGAAACCAACAGAACGCAAAGTGCTGAGCAAATGAAAAAAGAGAAGTGGAAGGACAACTGGAGCTCGAGTGTATAATGAGCTATCAACACATGCTGCAGTGCACACAAAATGTGAGGGAAGGAGGAAATCACATCTGCAGGGAACGTGGGCAGCTATTGTTTGAAACACTGCACAACCCTTTGGGGTCCCGATCCCACCACCCCACGCCCACAAATGAAGCGTTTGGTCCTCCTGAGCAGCAACAACTGGACACTCAAAATAGCAGCTACTAATTCTAGCAGCCTGTTCAGGGGTAGTAACTGAATATTATAACAGTTAAATTTAAATAGGTACCATTAAAATATTCCCACTGAAAAGGATATACTTTCTCAATTTTAAAAGAAAAAAATATGCCAAGAGAAATATTAAGAACCCCTGACTAAACAAACAGCATCACACAGTTGTAAAAATATTCAGGTAGTTCCATAGTAGCATCCCTTAAATATCTATATTTTATTTCTTAAATGTTCTTCCCTATACAGGATGCTGACAGGACAAGGTGAAAAGGCCCCAAGCTGTGCTCAGGTTGGATATTGGGAATTTATTTTCCCTGAAAGAGTGGTTAAGCTTTGGGTCAGGCATCCCCAGGGCAGTGCTGGAGTCACCATCCCTGGATCTCTTAAAGAAATGACCAAAGATGCCATTTAGTGCTGTGGTTTAATTGATTTGGTGGCACCCAAAGGGTGGACTCGATGACCCTGGGGGTATTTTCCAGCTCAAAATATTCCATGATTCCATAAAAAGTGTTGGCATCAGCACAGGCAACTTTTAAATAAGAGAAAAGCAGCAGCATTTCTGAAATAAATTTCTTGGTACCATGAAATCCTGGCCTTGGTCCTGCAGAGCTTTGACTGAGTTGGGGAAGGTGAAGACAAAATAGATAACTTCCTCTCCAGAAAAAACCACTCAGTTTACACTCAGGGAACCCCAAATTCTTTCAATATCATTTAATGACATGTCTGAATTTAAAACTGGTTCTTGCCTCTCATTAATTTGAACTTTCTCAGGAAGCACCTAAATCATAAGAGATGTCCTTGAAAATGCACATTCCGAGTGTATTAAAGTAAAACCTGCTTAGAGCTAAGCAAATTTTCTATTTTTTTTCCTCAGTAAGTGGAATTTACTGAGCAGTTCTGTGAGTTTGTGCCATTAGACAGTGTGAATTAGCTCTGATTTTTTTGCTCCTGCTCTGCACAGTGTACACAGTCAGCCCTCAACCAGAAAGTCATTAGCTTAATAATCATTCCTGACAGATTCCAAGCGAGAGATTCCAACAGATACCGCCGGGGTAAATAAAAGGACAGCTTTATCTGCAAGATGGGAGAGAGAGCTGCACTAAATGATGAGTGTGCTTTCCCAGGGACTAATTGTTGAGCAGGAGTATTTACAGTTAAATGGTTGGGGAATGGGGCCGTCATTGCCAGGCAATTATCTRTACACAAATAACTTTAATACTTTGGCGTTTTTATGGCCACCCCATTATTTATTTCACCATTGCAATACCATTCCCCCGTTAGTACGTACTTCTTTAAACTTCACACACAATTAAAATAAAACAGAGGAACACTTGGAAACGAGTTGAAGAACAATAGATCCTATTTAGCCATCAAATACAGCAGTATTTAACTTGGGTGCTTTTGATCAATATTTATGTGACAAGCTATTCATTACTCCTCTCCTCCACCAGCAAAGCTGTTGTTCTTCCCACAGCCTGATGTGCACTTTTGTGTGTTTAATTTATAAGTTTCCATGGAAAAGAAGTATTCAAAGAGGAAAAAAAAAAKTGCTGATACAGCACGTGGATCTTTCTACCAAGCCACAAATCTTTTCTAGTGTTCATCTTAAACTGAGAGTAATTCTGGGAAACAAATTAACGATATAAATCACATTATCATTACTCACAGAAAGATACTCCGTTGTAACTCTCTCAGAGAGTTGCAGTGAGCAGCTAAAAGGCCTCTCTCTCTGTGGAGAATGCCTGTTTCTAATTAAATGATCTAAAAATAGAGTTGCACATAGATCCATCTGCGTTATCTCCCCGAGATAAGCCATTCTGCACCCACTCCCATATCCCTTTCATCACCACAGACACTCAGAACTGGGACTGGACCCTTCTTCCCTATTTAGGAAGGGACAGAGGAAAAGAAATAAAAATTTTAATCCAGACAAGCTTTTTGGAAAGTCAGAGCCCTTGTTTTGAAATATCTTTTGACACCTACTGGTGTCAATCAGCAGYGTGATCCAAAGTGTGTCCTGCAAGCAGTGGCAGCACTCAAGCAGGATTTTTCCATGGAACACTTTCCCAATCAGGAAGGAAAGCTGTTTCTAATTGGCTCTCTGGGCTTTTTTTAATTTAAAAGCTTTCCTTTTTTCCCCTCCTCATTCGGATAATTCAAAGAACAACACAAAAAGTGAGCTGGAATCAAACCAGACCTGAGTTGAGATGTTGGGTAGGAGATTCCTATTACATATTTGGTGATAATAAACAACAAACTGCTTTCATACTTCAAGAAAGAGACAGAAAACAGCCTTTTTTCCCTAAAAACAGCTTCCTGTATCATCCACAATGTTCAAGGGGAAAAAAGAGGGGAAGCTTATCAGGGCCTGTCGAGATGGAGAAAATCTCTGCTCAGAACCAGGGGCAGATTCTTCCCCAAAAGGAAAGCAGAGTGTGGAGAGAGAGGCATCCCTCACTCCCAGCCAGCACAGGGGATGGAATTTGGGGTCTCCCAYGGGATAAATAAGTCCAGATAATACCTCAGGTTGCAGCCAGCACAGTAACATTTACACCAGTCCTTAAAGTTCCCCTGTCAGATTGTATTTGTTCAAACAAACCTGTTTGGTGTGCTTGCCCTGCCTCAGTTTTGGGGCTGTTTTGCTGTTGCATGATGGGATTTCAAGCAATGAGATTATTTATTCTTTTATTATTATTGTTGTTATTGTTATTATTATTATTTCACTTTAAACTTTCATTTCTGCCATCAGAAATAATGCACCTCTGCATGAAAAGGCATTCATTCCAACCAAAAACCTTATCCGTTTCTTAAATTCAATAAGCAATAATTTTAGATAACTGGCAACAATAACACAAAAAAACCTCTCAAAGTCTGTGTGATGGAACTGCATTGAATTCCCCCTACAGYCTTTAAAGGGTTACACACCTCTGAACAAAATAATAGGCAAAATAGGCAAAAAACCCCAAAGATTAACCTTTGAATAAATAACAGGCCATAATAAAATAGGCAAAATGAAGACTAAACTGTGAATAAATATTAGGCAATAATAAAACAGGCAAAACGAAGACTAACCTTTGAATAAATGCCATTTGCTGGTCTCCACTGCTCTCCRTTCAGAAGGAAGGGAATTGTTATCTCATAATCTTTGGCCTGGTGCTTTGACATCTGCAGCCTCGAGGAATCTGCTCTGCTGCCCACATCCTCACCTAAGGACAGGGAAAAACACTTTGGGTTAGCTGGGAGGAGCATCTRAGCAGGTGAACCTTGTTATTTAAGGGAATTGGCAGCACATTTGGAAAGGAAATCATTCAGGAAGAGAATTAAACACGAAACCACCGTGGGCTCGTAATGTCAGCGACAAAACCTGCACAGGTTTGAGRGAAATCTCTGATTTCTCTCAGGGTTCAGGGGGAAAAGCTGGAGGTTGATTAGAGACAGAGAATGCACATAAGGAGCAGAGATACCAGGATGTCATCATTAAGGATTCACATTCTCATTAATGGGGAAAAAAAAGTTCTGGAAAAGAAAATAAACTCTCATTGAAATAACACTCTGCTCCCACACAGGCACAGGACTTCAATTCACAGCAGCAGGTCCAAAAGCTGTTTGCATGCAGTGTTTATCAAGGGTTTTCCTCTCCCTCAATACCCCAATGGCATCCTCAAGGCAGGGCCCTAAACCCAATATTATAAAACAATTGAGAATAAATCAAAGGGAAGACAGGGACGGCATCCAGGTGGGGTTTTGCCACACTCTCTGTGCTCAGCTGATGCTCTCTGAGGACCAAGAGTTGTATTCTGAGCAGAATGACCCCCATTTAGTCTCTGTTAGAACTGGTTTAAAAACACCTGTGCTGTCAGTATGGTTAAAGCAAAGTGAGCAGAAGAAAAGTCTGGTATTTTCCAAAATGCTTTGAAAATCACAACACTTCACCTAAAACACACTGAAAAATAAAGATGAAAAGGTGAAATAAATTGGAGAGAGGAAAGTTGTTTGTCATGCAGAGCTCTTACACCCTCTAATGCAGCCCAGGTGACACAGGGTCAGTCCTGAGAGATGATCCAAAGCTGATCCACCACTTGGTTCCCCCTGGGGAAGCTCATGAGACACCATTTATCAGCCTGGGAGGGTCCAGACAGACCCTCAGCCCCTTTATTCTCGTTATCAGGCAGGAAGCTCCCTGCTCAGAGCAGGAATTTATGAATCATATCTCAGCAAAATGAGACAAGTTTGGCTCCAGCCCTGCTCTCCTTTCTCRGGGCTCACTGGAGCAATCTCAACCACCCAAATTAAATGACTCAGGCCCTTCTGTTATTTTGTAGGATTTGCATTCTGAGTTTGCAGAACCTCGTGGAGGATCTTCATCCTCCCTTGGATGTTTTTTCTGTGTGGTTTCCACATGGCCTGACACCACAGAGCTGCCCTGGTGACATCAGGAAGAATCCAAGACTCTCTGATCCTCCTCCTCCTGCCTTTCCTGTCAATTCTGCAAAGGATGAACTTCACAGCATCACCCAAAACAGAGGGRAAAAGGGAGGGCTCAGCATTTGTGCACAGATGTGTTATTCCCTAAACAGACAGCCCAGTCTGAAAGTGCAGCAGCTATAAAAACACAATGGGAAAAGGGAAAAAAATCCACTGGAAGTGTGGTTCAATTCTGCCACTCCTGTTTCTGTTCCATCCCAACGAAGTGATGCTCGTGGTGCATAACAATGTTATTCCACAATGAGCAAATTTAATCTTCCACACGTGCTGCTTCTTTCTCTGCTGAAAACGCTCATTGTGCAGAAGTGTTGATAGTCTGGAGACAGCCATCAAGACAGGTTTATAGGCAGCAGTTATATCTTTATTGGAAAAGAYGATTTATTTGGGGGGAAACAAAGCAGACAAGCTCTAGGCTTTGCAAACTCTTCTGAAGCCACAGCGTTTATAAAACACGAGATCAATTTCTGTCGAGTTGCTTTCCTTGAGCCAGATCCTTGGCTGCTTATCTGRATGGTTTTATTTAAATTATTGGGTGTGATAAAAATCGCAGCTTCCTGCAGAAGGCAGAGGAAGCACTGCAGCCCAATTTTGGGCCTCATTCTGGAGAGAATTTGGGCACAGGCATCGTGCACTTGCTTAACTCCCAGCTGCCCTCAGTGAGATACAAACACAGCCCAGTGTCTTTTGTACATCAAATAATGGTTTTCTCACTGAATTTCATTGTATTTATGGACTAGGTAAATTTCTGTAAGACTACAAAATAAAGAAACTTATACAGGTGATAAATAAACTCTGATAAATGAACTCTATGCCAGTCTTTAAATAAAAAAATAAGCATGAGGAAGAGGTTAAATCCTTTAAACAGGTTGCTTCAGCCTGATTGCAAAGCTTCAAAGAACATGGGGTAGAAAATAAGGCATCTCAGCCATGGAGAGCAACCCACACTTGTCCATCAGAGTGGGACCCAAAGGTCACTGAGCAATGGGACASAGGCATGGGAGAGGAAGATCTGAAATCAGGAGGAGAAAAACCCACAAGAAATATAAGGAGAGAGTCAGGCCAAAGAAATAAAGCAGGAATAGTGCAGGAAATTTGAAAAAATGGGGCAAAGCCAGGTGGGTACAGAGGTGAGACAGCTCCTGACACCTTTGGAGAGCTGGGGTCACCACAGGATTGATCCCAGGGAGGATCCTTCACCCAGCCTGAACCAAACACATCCCCAGCTCTCTCCTGTTGGCTTTGGGATCCCAATTCCAGCAGCACCATCCCAGCTCTCACAGGGAGCATCCTGGGGTATGGAAGAAGAGCACATCGAGATGGGATCTTGATCCCATCACCCCAAACWCCTCCTGAGCCCCCAGAGCCACAGCTCCTGATGCACTCAGCCCTGCTGGTGCCTCCTCTGTGCCACTCTGCAGCTCCTTCCCCCATTTCCAGGAGGATTTCTTTGAAGCTGAACCATTAGGGTTGTTTGTGTTACATTAATAACGAGGCCTCTTCCCTACAGGGACTCTCAGCACTACAGCAATATAAATAGTGTAATAATTGAAATCAGAGAATGGAAATCTGTCAGGAGAGGAGGAGGAAATCAGGCCATCTGCAACAYCAGAAAGTTCTATTAGCCCCAGGTTTGCTATCTTCTGTGTCACACGCACCTCCTCACTCACCTCCTYATTTTCCATTTCACTGGAATCCTGTCCAGCTCGTCTCCCACTTTTTCACATGAAAAACCTCACAGTTGTGTCTGTCTGCTTTCTATTTYCAGCCTGCACTGAAGGTAAGGCTTTTGATCCACGAGCTGATGCAGCACTCTTTATTCTTTTTTCACCCCCAATAATATAAAAGCTACTTTGTACAAATAGCGTGGGGAGTTGATGTTACCTGTCAGGGACTTTTGTGTGGCTTAAATATTTTTTATCTGCCGTGTACTTGTACAACTTCTCTGCCTCGTACAAGGACTTGCTGGCAAAGAAGTTAAGGATGGTTTTCATCGTTTTTTTGCTTTGTGTTTCAGTTCCTCCAAGCTGAAATAAACCCCAACAATGCGATGTGATAGCCTCACTTGGCGGCCGAGATTTTTTTTTCCCCTCCTGAAAAAGCCCAGACTCTCTCCAGATTTGCATTTACTGAAAATTAATGAGTTTTTACTGAGACAAGGCAATTTATTTGTCCTCATGATAAACAAAGAGGTGAACGCTCCCAGTGCTGAGCAGCTCTGGCTGCAATGGGATGAAGTGGAAGGACAATAAATGATGGACAATAAATGAAGGACAATAAAAGACTGATGGAAAAGTCAGCTGGATGCTGAGCTCCCTTCCCTTGGTGGACAGACATGCTCTGGTCCCACACAAAATAACAAACACAGATCAGAGAATCCCAGGATGGTTTGGGWTCAGAAGGACCTTAAATCCCRTCCCATCCCACCCCTGCCMTGGTGAAAACACCTCCCACTSTCCCAGGCTGCTCCAAACCCCATCCAACCTGGCCTACAACCTCCCTAATATAAATTGATAATAATTATAATAATTTATTACATATAATAGTATTAATTATATTATGWATAATTAATAAATGAACTATAATTAAAAATAAAATTAAAATTATATCTGACACTAAACGTGAAAATGCTTCAAAATAAGCCAGTACAAGATTTCCAGTTAAACAAAGAAAATCCTGTGACTTGCAYGGGGGTCAAAGAAGCAACAGCTTAAATTTTCCATCAACCACCAGCTGAGGACAGAGACACCTCTCAAAAGAAAGGACAAAAATCACTGATAAGATGCTTCCCATTATCCCACTGACAGCATTTGCAGAGCTTCACAAAAGGCAGCASAGTGCCAGCCTCTGCCCTCCTTTCTTTAAAAGCACAAAAGCCTGGGCAAGATTTGGCTGTGCATAAGTAAAACTCTTATCTCTCTCAGTAAAGTTTTTATTAGTTCAAAATCATGAATTATTTTCCCAGCTAACCTTTGCTCATCTAAGCAGCACATTGACTCTTCATATAAAACCCAGAAAAAAATAGTCCTTTCATGGCCTGCTTGGAAAATAAGTAATAAAAAAAAGGAAAAAGAAAAACTAAACACAAAGTTTTGCTTGTTTTCCCTCTTCTCCCAAATTCCCAAACCCAAGACCTCAGGCATTTAAGCACAAGTAACCCTTTGGAAAGCAACTAATTCCATGGATCTTCTTGAGCTTGAAGGAAAAGCTCCTCTTTTCCTCCACACTGCAGAATTACTGCTCACGTACAAAAACTTCCAAAACACGAAAAAGTCAGCAAAGGTCTTGGATGAGCCTGAGGAGAGGCAGCAGCATGATGACTCCACGCATTTCTGAATTTAATTTTCTGTTCTTTTGGCTTCTGATGGAAAAAGATGCTGTCTGCAGCTTGATGGGGCTGTAAAGATGAAGCTCTGCAGCATCACCACTGATCAGCTCCAGGATGAGGAACAGGGGTTGAGATTTCCTGATCCCCATTAACTGAACATCAAAAACACGGCTTTGAATATTTGGGGTTTATAATTCTCAGATCTACCTCCTGTCATCGCTGGCTCGTGCACAGTTATTCCTTCCCTAAATCGAATTTTGCTGATGGAGTAATCAGTGTTAGGGAACAGCCCTCTCACCCAAAATCTCACAAACTCCCTGGGATATGCCATGTGTTCACCATTTCCATGTGAAGSAGAGGCAAAACTGGAATTTGAAGGTGACTCGCTGTTCTCCT